GTGCTCTTAATGAGAAGTCATTTTGTCTTCACCCTCTTTCGTGAACTTAGCTTGCTGTTTCCAGATGCCCTTCTTTGGCGCCCTCGTCTGTGCTGCTCCCAGTGCCTCTCGGCAAACATATCGTTCTCCCTCCCAACACTGGGTCAGGTGCAGCTTTCCTTTGCTGTGGGCGGACGGGTCACTGCCCTTCCCTATGCCGCAGTGAGATGTTGCTGACTGACCAGTTAGGAGGGCGGTTCACGTCCCCTCCCAACACTGTGGTCAGGTGCTGCTTTCCTGCTGGAAAGGCGGGGAGCTACCCACCATCTCCTGGTGCCGGTCACTCTGCAGCTCTGTGCTACTACCCTCTCTGCCTCGAGTTGGCGCCCCGTAGGCGGGTTCAGGGAAGATGCGGAACAACCCCGCCCCTGCTCTGGGCCAAAACCCAGCTCCTTGTCTTGGTGGCGTGAATTCTCTGAGGCAATAGGGGGGAATTATCCTATCTGCCTCGGGCTGTAGACAAGTCTCTGTCTGGCCTTTGAGGCTGCTAAGGCCTTAGGTACAGTTTCAGGTTTCGCCCCCGCCCCACCTGGGTGCTAAGAGCTGGAGGATATGGCGGCTGTGCCTGAGCCTCACCTCTCTTTGACCAAAAACCTTCTGTTTTCTGTGGGTTTTCAGAGATGGGGGTATGTACCCTTCCCCCCCAGGGCACATCAGCCATGTTGCTTTATGGAGGGCCCAGGTTGTTCTGCCCTGTGTAGCCACTCATCCATGGCACACAGCACCCTGCAGTCCCCCAGGGCTGCCTCAGTGCAGCTGCCCCAGTCCTCTGCCTGGCTAGGGCAGCCTGTCCCAGTCCCCAGCTACTGGCTCACATCTCAGGCTGGGTGTCGCAGGGACCCTCTGTGCCCATTTAACTTAGTTCTGTCGGTTAAGGGCGGCTCCATACAGATTGCAACCTCAGAGGCTCCCCCTCCATCCCGCTGGCCTCTTGGTTGGAGATGGGGAGACCCAGCCAATGAGCACTAGTCCTCCTTTGCTGCTCCCTCCCATGGGACCAGTCCTGCACTGTTTTGCCTTTTCTTATTTCTTTTTTCCTTTTCTCCTACCAGATTTTTGGCTTCTTTGTCTTTTGAAGAGGACGATGTTCTTTTGGAGTTCCGCAGGTGCTCTGGTTGGCAGAGTAGGTCCATGGATGTGAGTCTTGATGTATTTGTGGGAGGGTGTGAGCTACGATGGTCCTACTACTTAGGCATCTTGGCCTCCTCTATATTTACTTATTTTTTTAATGGAGCTACTGGGGTTTGAACCCAGGACCTCATGCATGCTAAGCACATGCTCTATCTCTGAGCTATACCCTTCCCCTACTCATAGTTATTTTAATACTTTTTTTAAACATTTATCCTAGAGTTAAAAGTGATTTACACACCATCATTACAGTATTACAGTATTTTGAAGTGTTCTATATATTAACCATTATCAGTGAGCTTTTTTTAACTTTCATATGTTTTCTTATTAAAATTAGCATCTTTTCATTTCAGCTTCAACATTTCTCATAAGGCAGTTCTTCCAGGGATGAACTCCTTCAGGTTTTGTTTGGTGGGAAAGTCTTTATCTCTCCTTCATTTCTGAAGGATGACTTTGCTGGGTAATCTACCTTGGTTGATAATCTTTTTCTACAAGCATTTTTAATATATCATTCCACTCTGTCCTGGCCTGCAAGGCTTCTGTTGAGTAATCCATTCATAGCCTTATGTTTGTTTCCTTGTGTGTAACAGCTCTTTTGCTGCTTTCAAAATTTCTTCTTTGTATTTGATTTCTGATAGCTTGATTATAATATGTCCTGGTGAAGTTCTCTTTTGGTTGAAACTTTCTGGGGACTCTTGAGCTTGATGTGCCTTCATATCCATATCTGTCCTCACACTCGGGAAGTTTTCTGTCATTAATTGTTTAAATAAGCTTTCTGTCTCTTTCTGTCTTCTCCTTTTATTCCCATAGTGCATGCATTCTTAAGCTTGATAATGTCCCATAGGTCCTATGAGCTATCTTCACCCTTTCATTCTTATTTCTTTTTGTTTCCCTAACTGGGTAATTTTAATTCACCTGTCCTTAACTTTTCAGGTTCTTTCTTCTGCTCGATCAAATCTGTTGTTGATGCTCTCTATATCATTTTTCATTTCATTCACTGTATTTTTCAGCTTCAGATTTTTTTGTTCTTTTTTATGATTTATCTTTAAATTCTTGTTTTGTTCTTGATTTTGTTGAGTTGTCTATCTTTGTTCTCTTCTAATTTGACAAGTTCATTAAAACAATTATTTTGAGGGTTTTTAGAATATAGATCTGTATTTCTTTGCAGTTGGTTACTGGAATATTGTGCTCCTTTGGTGGTGTTATTTTTCCATGAGGTTTTGCATTTCTTGTAGCATTGCATGGATGTGTTCACACTTGATGAAGCAATCACCTCTTCTAGATTTTATGGACTGGTTTAAGTGGAGTAAGACCTTCATCTATTGATGGGAACAAGGCTGCCATCTGGGTAAGATGAAGCAGTTCTGACTCCAGGGAAGGTGCAGTGGTATAGTCTCTATGCAGCTCTGTCAGATGTCATCAGTATCAGCGAAGAGTGAAAGGGACCTTAGTGGCCAAGGCTGTGAGTGTTTGCAGGAGCAGTGATGGCTATTGGGATCCTCAGTGGTAAAGGCTGTTGGGGTCCTCCTGATTTCTTTTTTTTACCACAGTGGAAGTTATGGCCAAGGGAATCCCTCAAGGCTCTGGGTCCATCTGATGGGCACACTTACAATGGTTGCCTATGATGTTTGAAGCATGGGTGCCCATGGAGCAGCCATGGAGTCAGAATCTGGAAGTGAGGCATGAATGAAGCTACTAGAGTGGCTCAGGGGGTCTAGGGCGATGGTAGTTCTGGTGCCTGGGGTACAGGCACACCACCACTGCAGTATTGGTAATGGTGTGTAAGGTGCAGGTAATTGTAAGCAGCCACAGAGCAGGGGTCCAGAGCTTGCACAGAGCTAAAGAGGCTTTGGAATCTGAGGTAAGAGCACTCCCACTGTGACAATGACTCCATTGTGTTAGGTGCATGCACTTACAGAGCAGTTATGGAGCTATGGTCTGCATAGGCATGAATGGTGCATGAATAAGCCTGCTACAGTGGTGGCTTTGGTGTCCTAGGTTTGGGCATTTGTGAAGTAGCTAATGGACCTGGGTTCTGGAGGGCAGGTGCACCCACTGCAGCAGTGCTCCAGTTACTGTGGTGTGGGCACTTGCAGAGTGGCCATGGATCCAGGGTCCAGAGCACATGTGCATGGAGTGATAGTGTCTCCGAGGTCTGGGGTACAGGATATCCTGCAGTGTCAGTGGCTCTGGTGACTGAGTTGTTGGTACATGTGGAGCAGCCATGGAGCTAGCGTCTGGAGCATGGGAATGCATGGAGTTTGGTGGCAGGAGCTGGGGTCTGGTGGTAGGTGCACATGGAGCCACTATAGCTCTTGTGTCTACACCAAGCATAAGATGGGGGTGGGGTGGCAACCCTGGTATTGGGGCAGCACAACAGTGGCTTCTTCTTGTAGAGAGGTCTCAGCAGTGCCTCACTCTCTGGAAAGCCTGTGGCAGTGTTGGCTATTGGTTACTTCAGCCAAAAAACCTACCAGTATCCTCTGCAGAGCAGGTTGCTGGGGTCAACACCAACAAACACAGTGTGGTCCTCTGTTGTTAAAGCTGTGGGAATTCATGACTGTCATGAGAGCTGCCGAGGTCCTCAGCAGCAAAAGTTGCCAGTGTCCTCCACAGAGCAGGCTACTGGGGACTGAACTGGCATCTGCCACAGGGTCCGTATTGATAACCACTGTTCTGTTTCTTTACTCTTAGCCCCTTTCAGATATTTCAGCTGTGCTGATTTCCCCAGCAATCCTTTCTGTGTTGTTATTCTTCATTTTTTTCTTTCATTGTGTTGCTGCAGGTTCTTAATTAGACTCTTGAGCCCTCTCAAGGATATTTTCATTCATGCATAGCTGTCTGTTGTTTTTTGTAGGCAGGGTAGAGGCTGGTGTCTTCTACTCTGTCATCTTTCTGACACACTCAGTAAAGTCTTCTTTGTGTCTTGTAACAGTTTTTGGCTTAAAGCCTCTTCATGTGGTATTAGTATAGCTACCCTTGCTCTCTTTTAATTACTATTTGCTTGAAATAACTTTTTTCATCCTTTTACTTTCAACCTATTTATGTCTTTGGTTCTAAAGTGAGTCATTTGTAGACACCATAAAGATAGATGATAATGCTTATCCATTATGCCAATGTCTGCCTTTTGATTGGATAGTTTAATCCATTTATATTTCAAATAATTAATCATAAGGAAGAACTTCTGCAATTTTTCTATTTATTTTCTATATATATTATATCTATGTTCCTCAATTTTGCATTACTACATTCACTTGTGTTTAATTTTATTTTTTGTATACAATTTTGATTCCATAATGTTTAGAGGCTAGTGAAATAAAATGTTTTCCACTTTTTGGTTCTACTTTGGAACCTAATCTGTTTCACAGTAGTCACACATTATAAATTCCTGATATGATTACAAATTTCTTGATGAACCCTCCCCAATATTGCATGAAACACTTTCATTCAAGGGAGTACAATGTTTAATTTAACTATTGTAATTTTTTCTAGTTGTCTTCTAGAGTTTCACTGGGTTCTAAATCATTACAGTTTCATAGACTTGACCTAGATGAGTCCTCATGATCCAAGCGGTTTCTTGTTTCTCTATATCACCAATGCAGGTAGTTGTTTCCTCGTCTTAAAGATAATCATGGCTCATGATTTTACAAATTCCCTTCCATAGACTATGTTATTCTTAATTTACCTTTATGACTATGAGTCCTTTTTTAAGATTACCCCGAATCTCTTTTGTCATGGAAGGTTATTTGCTCCTTTTTGTGCCCTTTTCTTGCCTCACTGGCATTTCTACTTTCCTCTGTTTTAAGCCCTTATGAAGTAATCAGTTCTCTTACCTTCTGGCTTGGCTGCTGTGGGAGTGTAAAAATAGACTTCCAGTAGGTCCAGGTAAAGAACACAAAGATGGCATGATAGAATATGAGGTAGATAACTGAAATTTAAGAAAAAAATCAGTCTTTACGCTATATTTTCATCAATTCTTAAGAGTTCAGAAAGACGTTAAGCTAAAAAACAAGTCTATATTTTATTTTCCTATTACCAAGAATTTTCTACTACTATTATGAAATGTTAATTCTTACCTTTTTCCATGCAGTTACAGAAACAATCTATAATGCCAAATTTGGAATCAGAGGCTTTCTGGAAGTGGCATATTTTTAAAGTTGCCATGTAATTCTGGGAATAAAGGGGAAATGTCCCTTATGACAATGTGGGGGAGGCTACTGTTGCCAACTGTCATTGTCTCTGACACTGTGGTTGACAAAAGATGATTATGATAGTATTTGCACAGTGCTACAATGTTTATAATGTGCTTTCTTAATATTATTTAATTTTATCTTTTCAACAAGTTTGTGAGATAAGTACTAGGACAGGGATGGTTGATTAACTATCAGGGGCAGTTGATTATCCAAAGTCACAAAGCTACTAAATAATGTAGCCATGTCTCAAACTCAGGACTTCTGACTCTAAATCAAAAGTTTATTTTTCAGTAGCCCCAAAGACTACACACTTTTGAAATGTAAATTTTACCTTTGAGACATTTGTCAAAGTAGCTCCCCATCGCTTTTCTTTTTATACTCTTTGCCTTTTAGATAGATCTTCTTTTATGGGAAATTTTAGTATTCTCCAAAGAGGTCATTATAAGACTGAAGGTCATTTTACTGTTACATTGTGAGTCCTTGCATGGTAAGGTCTTATTACTTCAATCCATCAAAAAGACTCAAGGGAATGATATGACTCAAGACCAAGTTAATAGGGCTGAGCCTCTCATATATTTATGGTGAAATTGAAAAAAGCTGCACTCTTTTGGCCCAGTGCTCCCAACCCTATTGTACAAGACCTTTTTAATGTGCTTGATTTATTTAATTATGAAGTCCCATTTTGGAATTCAAGCAATAAAAAGTGAAAAGTAAATGTCCACCACACACATGTATCTTAACCTCCCACCTCCCCCTCCTAAGGCATAATACATATTCGCTGTTTGATGTATTATCATTCTAGATCTTCTATTTTTATATGTTTATATAAATATATAAACACAATACACATGGGTTTTTTGTTATATTAAATTTTTTTCATTGTATTTCTTTTGAAAGGTAATACATTCACAAGGTTCAAAATAGTACATAGTGAAAAGTCTCCCTCTATCCCTGTCCCTCTGCCACCTAGTTCCCCTCCCTGAAAGCAACAGATGTCACAGTGTCATGACTTTATTCTGTATCCTATCAGATCTTATAAATATAAAAGTACCAAAATGGTGTGTTTTTTCACACAAATAGCAGTATTCTATACACACTGTTTGCATTCTATGTCTTTTTCACTTGCTATAAGTTGGAGGTCATTCCACTTAATATAACTTGGAAAGAGTGAAGCGCCTCATTCTCCTTTTAAAAAGTTGCATGGAATTCCACTGCATGAATGTACCATAATTTATTTAACCAGATTGTCTCTGATGGAAATTTAGTTTTTTCCCCTTCTCTTGCTAATACAAATAATGTTGTAATGAGTAGTCTTGTATATATGTCATTGGCACATGCACTAAAAATATCTATAGGATCAATTCCCTGAAGTTGGATTCCTAGGTCCAAACACAGGCCTTTTGGTAGATATTGCCAAACTGCCATTAAAATTCTTTATATACTTTACAGTCTCATCAACAATGAATGAAAGTGACTCTTCTAACACAGCCTCGCCCTTGTGAAATGTTATTAGAATTTTTTATCTTAGGCAAGACTTCTAAACTGTTTCTTTCTGTTACCTTTTGCTATGTGTTTGTTTCTTTGATTTTATGAGGCTTATACAGGGAAGATTCCATGACTAAGTTAGATAGGACACATATCAACCCTTGTTCCTTTATTACAGAACAGGAGTATTGAATTTTTAGTTCCAAATAAATTAGGAGAAACTAAATTTATGTTTACCTTCTCATTTTGCACTTCAAATTTAATAAGATTCAGCAATTTGGATCACCTGAATGGTGAGAACTAAACTCTTACACTTGGTAGTATTTTGAGGGCATTTACTTTGTTTTTAGTTCTAATGATTGAGATGGGAAGTGTAGAATTTTAACTTGTTCTAGGTCATACTACAAATTTAAACCTGGTTTAATCATAGAACTGGAAACAGCTGGCTCCCACTCCTTTTTTCCAAAGATTCATAGATATTATGAGTACTTCTATAACTTCTATCCATTACAGATGGATAAAAAATGAGGACTCATAAGGTTAAATGACTAAGTCGAAGTCATTCAGTAGATTGGTAGAATAGGGACTATACTATAGATTTCATAAAAATTGAGAGTTAGGTGAGAGCATACAGATCATCTAGTTCAACATCCTTGTGAGCTGGTTTTGAGATGAGTTAAGGCCGTGGGACCCAAGGCCACGATCGGAGTACTGAGATGAGTTACAGCCATGGGACCCAAGGCCACGATCAGAGCATGTTTATAGTATGCAGTAAATAATTGCTCCAAGCATGCATCAATTTTGTAAGATTTAGAACAAAGAAAATAGAAGTACACATGTGCTAGAGATATTCTGTAAGCGTAATGAACAAAGAAACTCAGACTGCACATGTGTTGACAAAAAAACATAAAAGCAGGACAGGTGCATCATAGGTGTGCACCTCCCTGTGGCAATATTGTTGTTAACCCCATGGTGTCTCTGGCTGAAGCCTGTCCGGCGGTATAGCAACTCTTCGTGCATTTTTTCATTTGGGCCACTCACCTCCTAGAACCCCACATCAGCCTCCCTCGGCTGACATTTGGTGTAGTCGGCAGGATGAGGTGAGTGCTCCCTCTGAACCCCCTGCCCCTGACGGGGATGCTCTGATGGAAGCAAAGTAGCCCCCTACCTCTGTATGGTACCTGGTGGCAGCCTATTTGCTGATGTGGGCTCAATCGAGGATTGGGACACAGTGGCACCCCGACCAGATGGCATCCAGAGGGCATTGGAGCTGTTAGAAAATAATGTCCCATTAGCCCACTGAGAGGCAGCCGGGAGGGTGGCCTGGATGTTCTTATCTGTTTTACAGCAAGGTAGCCAAGACATGAGAGATCTACAGATGCAAGTGGAGGAGTTGCAGTGCAAAGAAGAGGAGCTTAAGCAGAGACCCAGCACAGCAAAAAGTTGTCTGCATGGTCCTAGCTCCGCCACCTCTGAGAGCAGCTATGCCTGTGTAGCTCTGGTCCCACTGCCCCTGAGAGCGATAAGCCCGACCCCTCCCCCTGTTCCACTGCGTCTATGGCCCATGGTGAGGTAGTGGATGGAAATGGAGGAGCCCATGGCTCAGGGGGGAATTCCTGCAGGGCCATGGTGAGTGACACGATAAACCACCTATACGTCTTACACATCAATGGAATTGAGAGACCTGGCAAAGCAATGCAAGCAGCGTATGGATGAGTCAATCCCCGCATGGCTACTGCACCTTTGGGATGATGGGGCTGACCAGACTAAGCTACCTCCGAAGGAGAAGGGCCAGCTGGCCAGCATAACAACTGTCCCCTCACTGCAGCAGAGGCTGCAAACTATTCCCCAGTCAAATGCTGATGCTGGCAACCATACGCTGATAAGCTGCTTAATGGCTGCTGTACACACTGTGTGGGAAAGTGCAGGGGATTTGCCTGAACACGTGAGTAAATGGACCACGTATTTGGACTTACCGCAAGTTGTCCGGGAAATGGGCATGCGCCAGATGATGTTTTCTTTGCATTTCCGTAGTCCAGATGATGAGCTCCTTACAGCTCGAATGAAAGATTTGATTTTGGCTAATGGCCCAACGGGAACGTTTGGGACTATGGCAACGCTACTAGCACCATATGTAGACCGCTCCATACATGAAGTAACTGAGGCTCTGGCTCGTCTGGGGGACATAAAGGTGCGCCAAAAGGGGGTACATGCTGCTAAGACTCAAGGTGAGTCCAAGACCCCCTCCTCCCATGCAGTGACTCAGAAAGGGAAGTCCACACAGAGGAGGAAAAAGGGAAATGCTCCAGCTTCAGGAGGGCCCCAAAAGCTAGATCGCTGGCAGACATGGTGTGATTTACTGGCAGCTGGCCTGGACCATGTAAAATTAGATGGCCAGCCTTTGGAGGTGCTGATGGCCTTATGGAAGAAATTACAGCCTGAGCAACAATATACTCCATTGCCAACCTCCCATCAGGCCCGAGAGGTGGCCTTTGCTGATTTCCTCCTGGACTAGGAGGAAGGCCAAGGTATTTGGGACATGGGGCACACCGACGACCAGAGGCCACATGTTGAACTGACTACCCACTGGTCCCCCATGAATAAACAGCAAGTGCTGGCACTAGTATACACAGGAGCTGAAATTACATTTGTGCATTGAAATCCGAAACGTTTTCAGGGACCATGGGTTGATATAGAAGGATACGGAAACAAGCAAATGTGTGTTAAATGAGTGACTCTGATTTTGGGCATTGGCTGTCTGCCCCCTGCTGCATATGAAGTGCATATATCCCCAGTAGCTGAGTATATTCTGGGGATAGACATTTTGCAAGGATTGCAAATACAGATGACTCAAGGGAAATTTTGCCTGAGAGTTCACATGGTGAAAACTGTTATACGGGGGCATCCTCATAACACACCTTTGATTTTGCCACAGGCCACATGAGTGGTGAAGGTCCGGCAATATCAATTGCCCAGAGGCCATGAGGAAATAGGACAGACTATTCTGAAGCTTGGGGAAGCCAGTATAATTCAGGCTATGCATAGCCCATATAACTCTCCAGTGTGGCCAGTGCAGAAGCCAGATGGCTTCTGGAGGATGACAGTGGACTATCAGGAACTGAATAGTCACTCCCCCCATGCATACAGCTGTGCCAAATATAACAGATTTGATGGACCAGCTGTCCCATGAACTGGGTACTTGTCACTATGTGATTGACCTGGCTAATGCATTCTCCTCAATAGATATAGC